AGTTTTAATAGGCATCCGTCCCTTTGACGTATTTATTGGTTAGAAGTTTAACGTTGAGCTTTAAGCTGATTCGTGTGCGCCATCGAAATTCGAAATGCTTGAAGCCGTAAAGGCTACGAGCTTCTTCAAGAAGGAAACTGCATTAAAGCCGAGAGGGGATTTTTCTATGCCGAACACTTGAGCCAATATCTCTAGAGTGCGTCATAATAAATCAGCGATTGGCATATTTAATTGCTTATACGATCTTGCCTCCAATTTATGACAGTCAGAACATTTTAACCTGGAGTCCGCCGCGTGACAACACACGACGCAGTTTCATGTTTTAATATCATCATCTTTTTAACCGTACGGCCCTCACAGATTTTTTTGTTATTTGCATATAAATGTATACAAATTATTCCGTGGTTATTCCATGGTATTTTATAGTCTTCGACTCAAATATTAATCGATGTCTAAGGTCTGGCCCTTAAAACTCATATTTCGATCACCTACTTCAATTTCGTGCACTTAATAATTTCCATAGTTGTTCCAATGATGTATATATGTATATGAAGACAAGCTACATATGTGTATGGCAGATATAGGTGTAGCGAAAATCCGAGTCCCGGGCATAAATGAAAAGAAGAGGCGATTGCGGACACCATAGGTTTACTTTCCTGACGTCTTAGAAGCGTACACCTCTGATTATAGACGACTGTACGCTTTTGAAACTTCAGGAAATTAAAAGTGTGGTTCCTCGATCGCCTCTTTTTCTCATATATGTATATAGATGTTTGATAAAATGGATCCGACAAGGCAAAGGGAGGCCAGAATGGCCATTTGTGACTTGTTAGCGTCGTCAGACAGTCATACCCAATCTGAAGGGTTGGAACCCCCGAGATTCCAACCCGGGACCTTTGGTCATTGAGTTTAACACTCTACCTCGGCACCACGGGCTCGTTGATTTGTCGGCTCAGATCGGGAGTATGATGAATATATGTGCTTCGCCGATCTAGGAGAGGAACAGTTAAGTTCCGCTTTGCCCAGGAGTTCACAATTAAACATCGCGCAGGCAGTCACGTAGTGACTATGAGGATAGGATGATGAAATGCTTCTGACAAAGCAAAGGGAGACTGGAATTGTCATTTCTGGCTTGTTAGTCGTCATCAGCCAGTCATATCCAATCTCTGGGGTTGGAACCCCCAAGATTATCGTATCCTCATAGTCACTATGTGACTGCCTTCGCGGACTCTAATTGTGATCTCCTGGGCAAAGCG